CCCCTAAGCATAACCTCCCCCACTGGCCCCTCATGGACAAATAGTTTTTGCCTGTTTAATTTGCATAATAAGTAAGATGTACTTCATAGCTTAGGTGGTGTTGAATATTAGCAATTAGCATGGCAAGATGAACCTTCACTTTCGTATACTGCACGTATAGGTGTATGGTTTCTATACTTTCTTTTGCTATAATATAAGTAGCAAGAGACAACTCTCTTGGAAAGTCTGTAAATTATTATGGGCTTTCAGGATTGATATTGTGATCTATATATAAACAAACTCAGGAAATCTAATGAGACTGCTCACATGAGTAGAAGCTACAGGACTGAGCCTAAGATGTTAGCTGTTACCTAATAATAATACTACTACTAATAATAATAATGACAGTTTTGTTTTTTTCTCCTTGTATTCTGGCCTGTTTCTAAGTTTCTCACATCTCAGTTGCTGCAGAAGTTGTTGAGAGTACAGAGCCTCCTACTGAAGAGTCAACTGAAGCTATAACCCCACCTAAAGAAGCAGAAGAGGAGGAGGAAGTTAACAAAGAAGATCAAGCGGATCAAGGTGAAGAAGAAAGAGAAACAAGTAAGTATAGCATCATCTAAAATGATGCATGTCACCAACTGAAAACATGTCACTGGTGACATAGTGGCTAAAAATAACCATGTACTGCTGGCACAGCACAGTATGGGCTGCTACTGCGCCATCATTTAGTACTTCCAAAATGACAACTCAGTAACAGCATCATAGGGGCACATGTAGACGCGCCTACTGTATAGACCCGGGTTTGATTCCCAAATGCAGGTATAACTACAGCCACTGAGGCACTGAACGTCCAGATTTGGTCTGGCCTTTGGATATCGTCGTAATAGTCTGAGGAGGGGATGGAAGGTCTTGACAGCCTCCACTCCATACTCCTGCCTAGGTGTACATGTCAAAGGTCCTGGTGACCTCTCTCCCACACACCCTGATCTAGAATGATTAACGATTGCCTAACATACTCAAGTTTATGTTTTATTACTGTTTTTAAAAATGGAAATTATACTTGTACATAGGATCATTTGTATATGTGTATAGTACCATTTACTAACACATATGCCAAACTGTGTTAGTAAATGACTACATTTGCAAAGTTGAGATTAGAGAAATTAAAGATCAGGCTAAAGTGTTTGCTGAAACACCTATTGGGCTCAGTGACAATTTTCGCCTGGTCTGGTCACAGGAAGCAATTTATAGCCATGACCAAAAAAACGCACGGCTGCAGATAGCTTCAGAAGTGGCAGATCGGGTGAAAATCTGAACCCTTGTTGCATGTTTTGGAAATCAGTTGTCCTTTCACGCTTATCTTGAAGGAAAGGTAGCTATTGTGCCCATTATCTTCAGTGAGGTTTAACCCAATCCACAATAATCACAATATAAAAAGAAGTTTGGTTAGGGAAGAAAATAGGATTTCATCATCATTTACAATCACTCAGTTTTTCATATTTATGTTATAACAAATATTTATTTTACAAGAAAAAGTCTTTCCTGGAGGTTGTTCTGATCAAGAATATGATGCAAGCAGAGTTTGAAATATAAATCCAAAACAGGACACCAGTGCTCTCTCTCTCACTACAAAGAAGATAGAACTATTTGTGAATTTATCACCTTGTAGTAAGCCAGAGAGTGTGCTCAGACTAGCCATCAGACATGGGAGGCTTTGCATTCTGGATAAAGATCTTATGGCTTGATCCAATTTAAGGCACTTGGACACCATCATTCAGAAATCTAACATGATTGATGAGAAAAACCTAGTTTTTTTAAATAAAGACAGTATAAATTGGATATAACTGTTGCAAATGACATTGAAAAGAATTCAGAAATTAATTTTTAAAATTATCATTCTAGAATATTTTATCAAAATCAGAAAATTCTGCAAAACGCAGCTTCTGCATTAATTATATTTTATCAGTAAATCTGCCTAATTAAAAATTGGACCTAATATTTGTAACTGTTTAAACTGTTCAAAGTTGTAAACCTTTAATCATGTAGTTCCCATCAACAGATAGTTGATTCTCAATTTTTTATCAGTCCATTTCACAATAAGGCTAATTAAAGATTGACCACAGGAGTCAGACAGACAGTTAAGCAGCTTGAAAATATGCTGAGACATGCCCTAATCATCCAGGGCCAGTTCCCTGAATTCTTGTAATTTTTTTGCCCTCATTACTACTGTATTAGTTCATGATCTCTCATAATGAAGCCCCAATTAAGCAGTCAGCAGCCCTAGTAATTAGTAGCTTTTTGATGAACACAATCAGTTCATTTTATCCTACAGCATCTCCTCTATAAGGCCTGAAGCGCAAGTAAGAGTTATGTACTTGTGTCCTTTTATTTATTTATTTATTTATTTTAGTAATAGGCTCTTTATGTTGCTAACATGAATACAGTAAATAAAAACATCAGTTTATCATTGATATAGTGCCTAGGAGCCCAGCTGTGGACCAGCACTCCATTATGCGAGGCACTGAATAAACCAAGGGGAAAAAAACATAGAGCAGAAAAGGACACAAGCAACTGTGAAGTCAGTTAGCCTAAATATAATACCCAGGAAGATGCTGGAACTAGTTATTATTAAAAAAGAATTGTAAGCAACTAGATGATAATACACTGCTAAGAAATAGCCAATATGTTTTTGTTTTGAATGAATCGTATCAAACCAAATCTAATTTCACACTTTGATGGTGTAACTGTCTGAGGAGTTGGGGGTGGGAAACAGCTGCTCCATCTCGACTGTTAGTAAGGCTTTTGACAGTCCCAGATGACAGTCTCATAGGCATAACTAGGAAAATACAGTCTAGGAGAAATCAGGTCAACGCACAACTTGTTGAAAAAGCATCTTAATTATTAAGAGTCCGCTGTCAAATATGTTAAATAAGGCAGGGTCTGGTACTATTCAATATTGCCATTCTCCGTGATGTGATGAAGAAAAATTTGAAGATGACACCAGCTAGAAGGAATTTCAAAGAATTTGAAGGACAGCATTAGAATTTAGAGTTATCCCGATAAATTGGAGAAATGGTCTGAAATCCGTAAGATAAAATTGATTAAAGACATGCACAAAATATCGCTTTTACCAAGAAAAAGTCAAAAGCAAAAATAAGAAATTTAGAATAACTGGATTGGCAGTAGTACTGCAGAAAGGGATTTGGGGATTACAGGGGTTATGAACTGAACACAGGTCAATAATATGATGTTGCCAAAAGGCAAATGTCATTTAGGATGATATTAACAGGAGTTTGGTATGCAAAACATGAGAAGTTATTATTTTGTTCTACTAGGCACTGGTGAGGCCTCAACTGGAGTACTGTGTCCAGTTTGGAGCACCACAAATCAAGACAAATAAATTAAAAATGGTGAGGGGACAACAGGAATGTTAAAGAGGTTTAGAATCTAAAATATGAAAAAAGAATTGGGGTTATGTTCTGACATGCATTTTAAGTATTCCAAATCCTGCTCCAGTTTGGAGTGGTTCAGATTCACGATGCTTCATACACATACACCTCTACCAAAAGTGCTTCATAATGGCCAAGAAGGCATGCAGCAGCTGCATTCTCCAGCATGACTCTTAGCCTCCAATCTCTCTGGAGGTTCCCAAGGACAGCCGAGCACATAGGAGAACAGCAGATTCAGGTTCATTGTCTGCCCCCTGTCATAAAGAGTGAAGCAGTATGGGATCAGGAGGACCAAGCAACTGTCTGTCCTGTTCTTCTGAAGGATGTAGGCATTTCAAAAAGTGTTTCAAAAAACATCTCAAAGATATTCCCCTTTTTTATGAGAACCATTTTTGATGCACTTTGGCCATACATATCTGCATCTCGCTGTTTGGAGTGCTTCAAAGAACTTTGAACATTTCAAATAGCATGTCTGTTTGTAGCTTTGGTTTTTAGTGTAAAAAAGAGAAGGCAAAATGGGACTTGATAACCGCCCGTAAAAAAAAAAAAAGATAAAAAATTGTTTTAAAAGGGGCCAGTGATAAGCTGTTCTCCTTGTCTACCAGGGCAAGACATGAAGTAGCCTCAAAGCAGTTTGGTTAGATATTAGGAAAAACTTATTAACAACTCTAAACATGACTGAGCACTGGAAAGGGTTACCCAGAGAGTAGAGATAGCAAAAAATCAGAGTTCTGGCTCATGAGAAGTTCAGATAAAAAAAAATTAAAAAGATAAAATCAATGTTTTTTGGAGGGTCTGGCAAACCAGATGCTCCCAGGATCTTCAGCTGATCAGTGAAATTGAGATTTTTGTCCACAGCTGATAGCAGCATCAAAATTGAGTAGGGTGTCATTTTAATGAACCATTTCAGGAGTCTTCCAGCATCCCCAAACCTCCAGCAGGCTACCTGTTGGCCAAGGATCTGCAGGTGCTGGAGTCCCCAGCTCCGAGTCAGACCTGCCAAGAATCCAGCGAGGGCTCTCTTGGAATTCTAATTTGGATTTGGTGAAAATTTGATGAATCTAGGATGTTTCAAATGAAACATTTCAGAGTCAAACAAATGCCAATTTTCAACAAAATATTTTATTGGATACTTTCCAGCCAGGTCTAGTAAGGAAAGAATCCCAGTCATTGGCGATTTTTAGAATGGGTTGGACAAATTTCTATCGAGATCCTTTAGGTATATGTGACACTGTAGAGCCCTGGGGTGAACTAGAGGACTTCTAGTGTTCCCTTCCTTCTAGGCCTACATTTCCATAATTCTGTATTATGCCAATTTTCTGTTAAGGGTAGGATTTTTCAGAAGTGCACAGTTTAGAGATCTTTCCTTAATAACTGACCAGACAGATTATTCTGAAGTCTATATTATGTTTTCTAGGAAAAGTTGCACTAAAATGAAATTAAAGAGAAACCTACAACTTGAAGCACAAGTAGCTTATAATACATTTATCTCAATTTTCCTGTTTGTTTTTCCTAACAGTAAATACTAGTTTCGAAGAGAAGGAGGAGGAAACAAAGGAAGCTGAAGAGCCAGACATAAGTAGAGATGACTAACACCAAATAAGAAAATTACACAGAAATACTTAAGTAAAATATCCTTGTGTTATTCTTATCTGATGAATGACCATGTTTCATTGTTTTGAATAAACATTTTTTATTGGTAGTTTATGAAGACAATGCCTTCCTGATGATTCTCTGAAATCAAGAGTATATTGTTTCCAAGTCTGGTTTATTACATATAGTATCTAACTACTGGCTGAATTAATTGTGGGACTAGACACATGCAACAAGTTACTTGTATGCATAAGTATTTGTAGGATCAAGATTTTGAACTGCTTCACATTATGGCTTATCAGTGGAGCATACATAAATGAGAAGGAAACTTCTCTGGTTTTCTGTAATAGGTCAGACTATTGGTACCTGGAATCCAGTAACTGGCTCCTGGCAGTCTGTATTGGTTCTTCACAGGAAAGTAAACCTTGGTTGTTCCAACACACTTCAATTCTTAGGTGGCATCACAAAACATGGTTTCCATGTTGGAAACTAGATTATACGTCTACCAATATTTGTGAAATTGTAAGGTTACAAAGCAGTTAACCAAGCATGTGCAATGCCAAGTAAGTAGTTCAAAGTGTATCTAGCCAGGTGGGTTGCACAAAATAGTATGTGTGCACACACTGGAAGTGGAGGCTTTTGTACATCCCCAGTGAATGAGTGGAACTGCACAAACCTGATGCAAAAAAATCTCTTGGTGCTTCAGATAAGGTTGATTCCTCATGTATAGCAAAACTAAATTAAAGGAAACTAAATAGGAAAGGCTGCATTAATGCCATGTTCAAGTTACAATGTTGATGACAAAAAACAAGAACATACAAAATTTAAGATTTTCTCAGTAACTTGAACTCCCTCATGTTTACATAATATTTAGGCCTTGCTTCTGCACATACATGAGCACTTACTTAATTTTTAGCACATGAATAGTTTCAATTGATTTTAATGAGTATTCTTGTCCTCTGCCAGTTAGGCATGTGTATATGTGATGGTAAGCTTGGAGCTTAAAATAAAAAGTTAGCAGCCTGAGGCTATTCCATTTTTCTATATATTTCATGAGATATCAAACCAGTGTTCCTGAAACTAGAGTAACTACCTGTAGTCTTCAACCTCAGACCAGGATAACAAATAGAATTCCACCTCAGGCGGAAAGAGAAAATAGTGACAGGTTTTCTTGTAATTTTATAACAAACAATTTGCTTGAAACTGCTCAGGAGTTTGGGATGTTGGTAGTAGAGATGAATTAATAGATAGCCACAGTAGTGTAACTAGGGATGGTTGAGAGGGGCACCCAGCCCAATGCCAAGTTAGGAGGAGCACTGGAATCGCCCCCCATCCTATGGAGTCTGCATCCCAGCAGCAGCACTACCATGCTGAGAACAGTTCCTGGTTGGTACTGCTTTGAGAGCAACATCCAATGTCAGCAGGGAATGCACAGTGGCAGCAGCTGCAGCTCAGCCAGGACTGCATAGGATGGGTAAGGATAAGCCTGCTGCCCTCCTGCCTCCTCTTGGAACCTGCATTCCTCCACCCTTCACTCTTGAAGTGCGTTCCAACCCTCCCAGCTGTCCTGCCGGGTTTGCCCCAAGTGCCAACTCTGTTGCTTATGCTACTGGACAAGACAGCCATGGTAAAGAGGCCATGGATGTAAAATAAGTGGAGTTTATAATCTGGCTGGGTAGTTTTTTCTCCTGTCTAAAATGTTTTAGTGAATTAATAGCCATTTAAATTTTTCAAAATTAACATATTCTTCTTCACGGTAAGGGTGGCCAAAAGTAGGAATGGGTTTCCAAGGGAGGTGGTGCTCTCCCCTACCTTGGGGGTCTTTAAGAGAAGGCTGGATAGGCATCTGGCTGGGGTCATCTGACCCCAGCACTCTTTTCTGCCTAGACAGGGGTTCAGACTCTATGATCTGTTGAGGTCCCTTCTGACCTTTGAATCTATATTCTGTTGTAAAGTTGATGAACAGCTACATAACATATTTAATCAGACATTGCTACCTCAAGGGTGCCTTAATTAAAGTTGAGTTCATTCTTGACCAATTTATTAATTTTTTTTCCCCCTTTAAGCTCTTTATGAACTCTGATTTTCAGGACACTAACCACTGGGGAACGCTTGGTAGCTTTTGGATAGATTTCCTGTTTCTGTAATCTAGGGATTATGGTACATTTCCAGTGCACAAAGGAAACTATCAGAACTGTGCATAGAACAAATAAGGATATAGAAACAAAAATTCAATCTTCAGATTTATTTTATTTTGGTTTGCCCCCCTTCTCCTTTTTTTAAGTGTTGTACCACTTCTATTTAACTGTGTTTTCAGTTCAGGGACACATGTGACCTCTAGTGGTAGGACTCCAAGATTCACATCTCCTTTTGGAAGGGCCTGTAGTAGCATTGTAGCTGTGATGGTCCAGGGACTATACAAGAAGTCATTTGTAGGGCAGTTGAGACAGGTGAGAGCCTCTCTCTTTTTACTCAGACATTAACTTATTACTGTTATTTTGCCTTGGATCTCTGTTCTTAAAGCAGGACTCCATTTTGCTGGGCACTGTACAAGCACTGAATAAAAAGATGTTCCTTGCTGCAGATTGCTTACAGTTTACCACCTTCATTGCTTCAACATCATTCAGCAATGGGCTTCGCATTGTTAATTAGAATGTGTTAGTTAGTGTTCTAATCCCATACTCAGAAACTTGCATTATTAACAATAACTAGATCAGTTTCTAAATCAGATACAAGCACCTTAAGAAACCAAACAAGATAAAAATATTGTAGAGCCTCTGTAAAATGGTTATTTGGTAGCAGGCACCTGTGAAAAAATGGTTTTTGCAAAGAGATTGTTCTCTCTTCCATGGTTTATCTTTCCTGCTTTCGTCTTCATTCCTATGCACTGGAAGGTGCTCATTTTTGGGGTGAAGTTACATCACAGCAAATTTGGGGTTCCATGACACAGGGTCAGGAGCACAGTGCCCAACAAGGTTCTGCATGTGGATTCCTTGATGCAGATTAAATTTACTTTGTTCAATATTTATTAGTGTATTGCTTCCCTTGCAATGGAAACTGCAAGCACCTTGATAACGGAGAGAAAATATCATTACTGTTCAGCCTGGCTTCTAGAAATACTTCTGCATGCTCTGCCAAAATGTTATTTTCCAAAATTTAATGTCTTAGAGAGAGGAAAAAGAATTCCCAAAGCTTGCTTTTCTGAGATACTTGAAGTTTTTCTTCTTCACCTGCCCACTTCAATTTTAGCAATACATGCCTGAGACAGACCAAACTGGCACACATTCAGCCAGATCTAACATGAGACTTTTGTCTAGATATTGTGAACAGTGTCAGGTGTTGGGGTGGATGCTGGTTTGGATTCAAAGCATTGAACATATCTCTAGAAGTTTCTATAAGGAGTTCATCACCTTGGTACCCACATTCCTTTTTCCTAAAGTTAACTGGAGCTGTGACATCTCTCTGAAATATATTAAGACACGTGTTTAGTTATGGGCTCTAATTATTCATTTACATATCTGTTAGTCTCCCAACTTTTAAAACATGGGCCTACTTGGATTCATTTCTGAAGTTCTGATTCAACAGAGTTTCTATCACAAAGCAGGTTGATGTACAAGATAGCAGTTCTCTAGTTTTATTTCCCTACAGGTTTGAGCTGTAGGAAAACCTGTTCTGTAAAACAGTCCAGCTATTTACAAACCAAGCCTCTTTCAAAAACACTGAGAGCTGCATGTGTAGGAAATGCCCCATCCTAACAGCTAAAGTGTAGCCTGGCTTATTGATAAGTCAATGCCTACTGTTGGCCTGTCACCATGCTGGCCCGCCACTTTGTCTAGGGCAGTCTGTCCAGTCTTGTCTGCCATGACTTGTTGGGAGTCAATCTGTTAAAATAAGCGGGAGGCTGCCCATTTAATACCCTGATGCCGGGGGGGGGTCACACAATTCCAGCCTTCCCTTATTGTGCCCCAGGCCTTGCACATGGCATCCTAGAGTAGCTCTTTACTCTGGCTCGTGGCTGGGCCAAACTGAGCCCTTTGTTAGGCCTCATATATTATCCTTTTACTCTGTCCCATCGGGCCTTATTCACACTGCCCGCCTCTCACTGGGGCCTCTTGCACTCCACCCTCTCCCACCAGGTCTCTTACATGCTGCTTCTCACTGAGCCACACCCAGCCTACCCTGCACCCTTGTGTGACCACGTAGGCCATCAGGCTTGCCTACTCACACTCCTTGACTGGACCTGGTGCAGCCTTTCAGGTCTCTTCCACGACCCTCATCCAAACAGTGACCAGACAGTTCGCCTGGCCCTGGATGGAGCTCTGACCCAAGACCCTCTCTGGGTGACTTGTCACTCTCACCCCCTTCACTAGAGCCTCAGGGTCTTGTACCCCCTGAGCTCAGGTGCTTTTCTCTGGGCATGCCCTGGCCCCACCACACACTATGCCCCCTACACTAGGGCTTCGAGGTCTTGCACCCCCTGGGCTCAGGTGTCTCTCTCTGGGCATGCCTGGCTCCCACTATCCTCAGGGTCTTACACCCCCATGGACTCAGGTGCCTCTTAGTAGGCATGCCTGCCTCACCAGACCACCCTTCCCCAGCAGGGTGCAGTTTTCATACCCAGAACCAGACGCCTCCTGTCATTGCCATAGCTCCTGCCCTTACCTCCAAGATGTTCCAAGCAGTTGCTCAGCCAGGTGTTGCTCTTTCAGCTGCCAGCAGCAGACTGCTGGCTTGGCCCCAGACCCTGGAACTAAAATGGAGGCTGCTCCAACCCCTCCTCCAATCTCAGGGCCCTCCTACAGTCATGTGACTAGATCATTATTCAGTTCACACCTGCCGGCTGCCCTGATGGCTACTCTAGCCTTTAAAGTGACAGGCACCCAAAGGTGCTCTGTCACAATAAGTCATCTCCTTCCCTAAGCTCTTACATGGCTTGAGAGGTGAGGCTGTAGCAACTGTTCTGTTCTAAAACAAATTCAGGCTCAACAGAAAACAAGTGAACGTCCATATTTTTTAGGGGAGTTCTATTGGTAAAGCTCCCTGCAGCCAACCTCTGGAGTTTGCAAAGAGAGCATGCTCTTTGAACTTACTACAAGCATTTCAGCCTGG